GGCCACACGTCCATTCGAATAGAGTTACAGCTAGATATGGACAGCAGCGTAATTTGAGCTGTTTAAATATTTAACAAAAGTTTAATTGCACAATTTAGATAACGGCTGTTGCCTGCAGTTTAACTGTGTTTGCCTTCGTTTGACTGTGGTTTACTGTGTGAATGCGTTGTCGTTGTCGCAAGTGTTGCGCAAATAATTTAAGTGGTTATATCGCAGGCCGCTCGCGCCTTGCGTCACAGTCATAGTCTTAGTCGCAGCTCCCAGTGCGCATTGGTCGTGCTTTCGAGTGGAAAATTGACTTGCTTGTCATCGTCATTGAACTCAATTTGAAATTCAATAAATTATACAAGAAAGCCGAGACCAGGCCCTGCCCAGGCCATGCCAAGCCTTGCCAGCCAGCCAGTCCGTCGTCGACTGACGCAAAACGCGCAAATTGTCAATTTTCTGATAAGAAGCAGCAGCCTTGGGTCTCTGTTACTGCGGCTCCTGGCTATGCTCCTGGTTCTGGCTCTGGCTCTGGTGCTCAGGGCGTCAAGCCGTAAACACATTTAACCCCAAAGCATTTATTTGTGTGTGTGCAGGCCTCAGCGGCGATGATTTTCGCTTCGACGGCAACGGCGACGGACCAGCGCGCTATAACATCATCCACTTCAAGCAGTCGGTGGCGGGTCAGTATCGCTGGGTCAAGGTGGGCGAGTACTACGAGGGCGAGCTGCGCTTGAATATGTCCGGTAAGTGCTCAACAGGTGTAAAACACAATCGCATTCACACTCACACTCACACACACACATATTCATTCTTTTGTTTGACCGATTGCAGAGGTGAAATTCAAGCTATTGCATCCGAAACCACCGGAATCCGTTTGCAGCCTGCCCTGCGAGCGCGGCCAGGCCAAGAGATACGTCGAAGGCGAGAGCTGCTGCTGGCACTGCTTCAACTGCACGACCTATCAAGTAAGTGAGACTTCCGCACCCACACAGCAACAACGACAACAACAACTACAACTGCAAATTGTCGTCGTCGAGAGCAATGCAATGCTCATTCAATGGCATTCAGCTGGTCGCTTGATTTAAGCTTAAGTGGAAACTGGGTACCGCCGCCGCAAATTGGCGCAAAATTCGTAATTTATTTGCAAGGCTTTTGTCCTGATTGAAATGTAATGTAGTGAATTATTGTGAGAACTAGAGAATGGCGGCGCTGTCGTGCTCAACGTCCATCAACTGACTGTAAAAAGCACAAGCTGCAGCATGAGCATAAAATTCAATCGCAAATCGAGCTGCATTCGCTTAAAGCGAACTCAACAGCATTTTATGGCAATGCACGGAAATGCTTTACTTTAAGCACTTCAAATACTCTCAGTTGCGTAAAGTAAGAGAAAATGTTATGGTGCCCCACTTTAATGGAATGAAGATGGATTTAGCTCTTGCTTAAGTGGTTGAGATACTGTTCTCTATTCATATTTAGGCCGAGTTATTTAACTCGAGTTTATCCAGATTTATTGACAATCTTAAGCAAAAGTGCTATTTTATATATATTTAAAATGTTATATTATTTTATTTATATTTATGTTTATATGGTAATTAATGAAAAATTCGCAATTTAATGAAAACCTTTATTGTTAGTTAAATTACATTTATTTTACTTGAAATTATGATAATATATTTTTTTATATTATTAATAATTTAAAATACTTTTAGTTTTAAGATAGAAAAACAAAAATCATGTTGACTTTATATTTTGTTATATATTTTATTAATATATGTTTATATATGATAAATGACTTATAGAATAATATAAAAATTATTCGCAAAATTACACACACACAAAAATATATAATAAAATAAAAT